AGACACTACATACTGATATACACCTGAACATCAGCAGGAGAGGACTCTTTAAAGTAGAGACACTACATACTGATATACACCTGAACATCAGCAGGAGAGGACTCTTTAAAGTAGAGACACTACATACTGATATACACCTGAACATCAGCAGGAGAGGACTCTTTAAAGTAGAGACACTACATACTGATATACACCTGAACATCAGCAGGAGAGGACTCTTTAAAGTAGAGACAAGTACATACTGATATACACCTGAACATCAGCAGGAGAGGACTCTTTAAAGTAGAGACACTACATACTGATATACACCTGAACATCAGCAGGAGAGGACTCTTTAAAGTAGAGACACTGCCCATCTACAGCTCTCTGACCTTGTTTCAGAGGAGGTGTTGTATATCTAATGAACTGACTGTGTTCCTGAGAATGAGATTAGTGACCTGCTCTAACAGCCAATCGCTTTATAACGATTAGCTGAGATTTAGAGTCCGTAAAGTCCATCTCTAATCTGCTGCGTAATACCAGACAGAGATTACTGCTAAATGCTACCACTCACATGAGAATACGCTCAGTGAAAGTCGTTTAAGAACACGCTGTTAAAAAAGCCAGGATTCTTAGACTTGAAGGGAGTGAAACTCACAGGCAGGGATTCTAGCCTCTGCAGACCATTCACATGCACTAACAGCTATATAACCTACAGGAGAGGAAACGCCACAGGAAGCAGAACAGGGGCTCTAATCTAATATAAATGTAATAATGTACCAGAAACAGTCCCATGTAGGGAAGTAAAGACGTATTTTAAAACCACCTTGAAGTCTGGGGTAAATTAGTGAATGTAACATTACCGTATTTAATTTAGTCTTAATGTAAATTATTTAATTTCACATTCTGTTTTTCTTGTACATATCATATTCTGTTTACATGTATATACAGTGGAGTTTTCATATGTACAAAAGTGGTGGGGCACGAACAACTTAGAAGTGTATAATCTTCTGGTGCTTTTTTAAACACGTAAACAAATAGCTGTTCCGATAGAGGGGG